CSACMWYAWTMAYCAMSARKAGTCTGCTTCTCAAAAGACATATTACAGTTAAGTTGAACTCTAACGGTAAACCTCGATWWATCGGGCGACCGCTTAAAAGAGGTTCGACTGTGCAAGAAAATCTTTACCTTATTGACAGTTTTTCTAGATCGTGGTGGTAAATACAAAGCGAGACGTTCTTTCTGTACTTCTTCCTCCTCTAAYTTCTGTCTAATCTCGTTAGGAATGATGTCCTCCCAAGTTTTGCCCTCCATGTTGCTGGACTGCTCGGGTGTGCTGATTGATTCTTCATCAATTGCAAAGTTAGCCATCTGTGATGAATAACGGATGTCACATTTCAGTCATGCATTTATCATGTCTCCAATACATTCATCCATCCAGTCATCCATTTTCATTAAATCAATCATTCATTAGTTCATCCATTCGTCACACAACCAACAAATTGCTCATTCAGTACTTATTCATTAGTTAATCGTTCCGTCACATTAATTTATCCAACCATTCATTCATTCAATTCTTATTTTTGTATTCATTCATTCGTTTTTACCTTGAATTGTGACAGTAGTTCATCTCCGATAGTTTGAGGCTGATCTTCAGAGTCTCTCGTCTCTGCACGTCGCAAAATCTCATCGATATCCATTTCCTAATAAAAATCGCGAAATCTTAATAAGAAGAATAACGAAACAGGTTAAAATGCACAACGAACCTGTAACTGAGAATCTTGCTCGCCATCGCCCTCTTTGAACAAGTCTTCAGCACCGAACTTAAGAATAGATGCCAGYTCGTCTTTATTGAATGGTGTGGTACTATAAACGACACGATAAGATCATAAAATACCACATTACAATGGGTTACCACTCATCCTATTTTCCTACCATCAATTCAAACTGTATGTTCCTCAAAATCTGAAAAGCTTACATCAAGTGGACATAGCTTTGGACCTATTTGAGAAGCATTACTTTATGCCCTCCGTGACACCTCTGCATTGTGTAACGCAATACAAAGGTAACGCCTATAGAGGGCAATTMTGTACACACCCCTCTCTCCCTCACACACACACACCTGTCCTCTTCTCCTTCAAGCAACTT